ACAACTGCTAGTGCCATGCGAACGACCTACTCCCGACATATACACAACAAACGATAGAGCAGAACGACCTAACATTACCTACGTGTCGATGCTACGTCACTTGAGTCTTACAGCCAATAACAGTGGGGCTTTCTCCTTATATCGTTTCTTTTTCTGCTGAATTTCAATCTTATTTGTTTGGTCTCGGGTTCGTACATTTTAATAAGGCTAGCCAAACCGGTCCCTCATACAAAATAAATGAATAAAAAAACAAAAACCTAAAGAACCAAAAAAAACCAAAGGAAAAAACCTGCTTCCAACTTTCCTGATGAATCAAAATTATAAAAGGCCCTTTGTTTCAAGTTCAGACACTATGTTGTTCAGTGACAGTGGTTTTCGGTTTTTCCATTTTAATAAGGCAAGCCAAACCTGTGCCAAGTAAGAAAAATGTTATAAACTTTTGTGAAGAAGGCAAATTATGGAAAGCCTTTGGAAAAAGCGCAAAACCCATGTTGATCCACCCGGTCACGATGAAGGCATCGTGCTCAGTAGCATATATGTTCAACGTGGGCGGTAATGACAAGATCTTGTTGTAGAAAAGGGAGTGATATCGTTTTTCATTATGACTCATGTAACAAATAAAATTATTCGAAGCAGCAAATTACAATTTTGACCATTTTTTTCTTTATCCTTATTGAGATAAAGCCTCGCTCACTTCTTCTCCTTGCATTCTACCTGAAGTTACCCAAGACACAGCAGCGTGCTCAGTTACAATTTCAGTCGCTGTTCAGAAAATAAGTCGTCTTCCTGTAGAACGAGATCTACTCAGTTAAAAAAAAAAAACTGATGCTTAGCGAACCTTAAGAAAAAGAAAAAACGAAAATACGCGGAGAAACTTAGGGTAACAATTTCTTACAAGACAGAAAAGAAATAATTTACTTCTTGCTTTATTCTCCGAATTTAGTTTACGAAATTTTTTTTCCTCGACAGACTTACACACAATTATCGTCCATTTGCCGACTTGCAATATAACGGTATACGACTCGGTTCGCTAAAGTGCGTCATTATTTATAAAATGGAAAGGAAATCAATAACAAATTTTGTAAAAATATAAAACCATGAACAATTCAGAACATTTTCTTTTTAGTGAAAGTTCGTTGCTTTCGTTGCTTTATTTAAGTTTGTGAGAACATTTGTTCTTGGCTAGTCTTAATTCGAATCGCTCCATTAAAAGTGTTATATTGGAGAAAAAATGCTACTCGCATAAGTTGTTATTTGAGGCAGAGTTACCACTTACTCTGTTTGAAGATACCGTCTTCCATCAGCTACTTAGCTGAGTTGATTTACAAACAATGAGGTGATTATCAAAAAAAAGTAGATCAAGATAGTTTAACATCTGTCATTCATTTTTTTAAGGTGGTCGTTTTGAGTGTCATCCCTCAGTCTGAGCAAAAAGACCACTAAATACAAACAGCGTTATCAAGCTATTTTGATAGCGTTATCAATTTACTACCAAGTTATTGTTTTTAT